AATTCAAGTAAGAAATTCAGGCAAATGTAAATTCTATTGTGATGTGAAACAGCCTGACATTTAAAAAAAAAAACAAAGCTGTTTGCCGGTTTAAAATCTCTAAGTGGCTAATTAAATCACCTCATTTGTGTAAAAAATATATTTATATTCCTATCGCAAATGGAAACACGAGTTTTGTGTTACTGAGAAGATTAAAATAATAATGGAGGATGTTGTTCTAGTTTGCTGGGTTTTGAAAGGTACAGTAGGAGGTGATGTTGGATAGGCTTTTTAAAGTGTTGTTGGGTATTGTGTGGTGTTGGTGGGTAGGTTGTTGTGTGGTGTTGGTTGTTGTGTGGTGTTTTTGTGAAGGTTTTTGTGTGGTGTTGGTGGGTAGGTTGTTGTGTGGTTGGGTTGGTTGTTGTGTGGTGTTGGTGGATAGGTTGTTGTGTGGTGTTGGGTTGATTGTTGTGTGGTCTTTGTGGGTAGGTTGTTGTGTGGTTGGGTTGGTTGTTGTGTGGTGTTGGTGGATAGGTTGTTGTGTGGTGTTGGGTTGATTGTTGTGTGGTCTTGGTGGGTAGGTTGTTGTGTGGTGTTGGCTAGGTTGTTGTGTGGTGTTGGGTAGGTTGTCGTGGTTGTTGGGTAGGTTGTTGTGTGGTGTTGGTGGGTAGGTTGTTGTGTGGTGTTGGGTAGGTTGTTGTGTGGTGTTGGTGGGTAGGTTGTTGTGTGGTGTTGGTGGGTAGGTTGTTGTGTGGTGATGTTGGATAGGTTGTTGTGTGGTGTTGGCTAGGTTGTTGTGTGGTGTTGGGTAGGTTGTCGTGGTTGTTGGGTAGGTTGGTGTGTGGTGTTGGTGTGTAGGTTGTCGTGTGGTGTTGGTGGGTAGGTTGTTGTGTGGTGATGTTGGATAGGTTGTTGTGTGGTGTTGGTGGGTAGGTTGTTGTGTGGTGTTGTGGGTAGGTTGTTGTGTGGTGTTGGGTAGGTTGTTGTGTGGTGTTGGTGGGTAGGTTGGTGTGTGGTGTTGGGTAGGTTGTTGTGTGGTGTTGTGGGTAGGTTGTTGTGTGGTGTTGGGTAGGTTGTTGTGTGGTGTTGGTGGGTAGGTTGGTGTGTGGTGTTGGGTAGGTTGTTGTGTGGTGTTGGTGGGTAGGTTGGTGTGTGGTGTTGGTGGGTAGGTTGGTGTGTGGTGTTGGTGGGTAGGTTGTGGTGTGGTGTTGGGTAGGTTGTTGTGTGGTGTTGTGGGTAGGTTGTTGTGTGGTGTTGGGTAGGTTGTTGTGTGGTGTTGGTGGGTAGGTTGTTGTGTGGTGTTGTTGGGTAGGTTGTTGTGTGGTGTTGGTGGATAGGTTGTGGTGTGGTGTTGGTGGGTAGGTTGTTGTGTGGTGTTGGGTAGGTTGTTGTGTGGTGTTGGTGGGTAGGTTGTTGTGTGGTGTTGGGTAGGTTGTTGTGTGGTGTTGGGTAGGTTGTTGTGTGGTGTTGTGGGTAGGTTGTTGTGTGGTGTTGGTGGGTAGGTTGTTGTGTGGTGATGTTGGATAGGTTGTTGTGTGGTGTTGTTGGGTAGGTTGTTGTGTGGTGTTGGGTAGGTTGTTGTGTGGTGTTGGTGGGTAGGTTGTTGTGTGATGTTGGTGGGTAGGTTGGTGTGTGGTGTTGGGTAGGTTGTTGTGTGGTGTTGGTGGGTAGGTTAGTGTGTGGTGTTGGTGGGTAGGTTGTTGTGTGGTGTTGGGTAGGTTGTTGTGTGGTGTTGGTGGGTAGGTTGTTGTATGGTGTTGGGTAGGTTGTTGTGTGGTGTTGGTGTGTAGGTTGTCGTGTGGTGTTGGTGTGTAGGTTGGTGTGTGGTGTTGGGTAGGTTGTTGTGTGGTGTTGGTGGGTAGGTTGTTGTGTGGTGTTGTGGGTAGGTTGTTGTGTGGTGTTGGGTAGGTTGTTGTGTGGTGTTGGTGGGTAGGTTGTTGTGTGGTGTTGTTGGGTAGGTTGTTGTGTGGTGTTGGTGGGTAGGTTGTGGTGTGGTGTTGGTGGGTAGGTTGTTGTGTGGTGTTGGGTAGGTTGTTGTGTGGTGTTGGTGGGTAGGTTGTTGTGTGGTGTTGGGTAGGTTGTTGTGTGGTGTTGGGTAGGTTGTTGTGTGGTGTTGTGGGTAGGTTGTTGTGTGGTGTTGGTGGGTAGGTTGTTGTGTGGTGATGTTGGATAGGTTGTTGTGTGGTGTTGTTGGGTAGGTTGTTGTGTGGTGTTGGGTAGGTTGTTGTGTGGTGTTGGTGGGTAGGTTGTTGTGTGATGTTGGTGGGTAGGTTGGTGTGTGGTGTTGGGTAGGTTGTTGTGTGGTGTTGGCTAGGTTGTTGTGTGGTGTTGGTGGGTAGGTTAGTGTGTGGTGTTGGTGGGTAGGTTGTTGTGTGGTGTTGGGTAGGTTGTTGTGTGGTGTTGGTGGGTAGGTTGTTGTATGGTGTTGGGTAGGTTGTTGTGTGGTGTTGGTGTGTAGGTTGTCGTGTGGTGTTGGTGTGTAGGTTGGTGTGTGGTGTTGGGTAGGTTGTTGTGTGGTGTTGGTGGGTAGGTTGTTGTGTGGTGTTGGGTAGGTTGTTGTGTGGTGTTGGGTAGGTTGTTGTGTGGTGTTGGGTAGGTTGTTGTGTGGTGTTGGGTAGGTTGTTGTGTGGTGTTGGTGGGTAGGTTGTTGTGTGGTGTTGGGTAGGTTGTTGTGTAGTGTTGGTGGGTAGGTTGTTGTGTTGTTGGGTAGGTTGTTGTGTGGTGTTGGTGGGTAGGTTGGTGTGTGGTGGTGGTGGGTAGGTTGGTGTGTGGTGTTGGTGGGTAGGTTGTTGTGTGGTGTTGGGTAGGTTGTTGTGTGGTGTTGGGTCGGTTGGTGTGTGGTGTTGGGTAGGTTGTTGTGTGGTGTTGGGTAGGTTGTTGTGTGGTGTTGGGTAGGTTGGTGTGTGGTGTTGGGTAGGTTGTTGTGTGGTGTTGCGTAGGTTGTTGTGTGGTGTTGGGTAGGTTGTTGTTTGCTGTTGTTGGGTAGGTTGTTGTGTGGTGTTGGGTAGGTTGTTGTGTGGTGTTTCGTAGGTTGTTGTGTGGTGTTGGGTAGGTTGTTGTGTGGTGTTGGGTAGGTTGTTGTGTGGTGTTGGTGGGTAGGTTGTTGTGGGGTGTTGGTTGGGTAGGTTGTTGTGTTGGTGGGTAGGTTGTTGTGTGGTGTTGGGTAGGTTGTTGTGTGGTGTTGCGTAGGTTGTTGTGTGGTGTTGGGTAGGTTGTTGTTTGCTGTTGTTGGGTAGGTTGTTGTGTGGTGTTGGGTAGGTTGTTGTGTGGTGTTTCGTAGGTTGTTGTGTGGTGTTGGGTAGGTTGTTGTGTGGTGTTGGGTAGGTTGTTGTGTGGTGTTGGTGGGTAGGCTTTTGTGTAGTGTTATTGTGTAGGTTGTTGTATGGTGTTGGGTAGGTTGTCGTGGTTGTTGGGTAGGTTGTTGTGTGGTGTTGGTGGGTAGGTTGTTGTGTGGTGTTGGGTTGGTTGTTGTGTGGTGTTGGGTAGGTTGTTGTGTGGTGTTGGGTAGGTTGTTGTGTGGTGTTGGGTAGGTTGTTGTGTGGTGTTGGTTAGGTTGTTGGTTACTGTTGGGTACTGTTTTTGTGTGGTGTTGGTGGGTAGGTTGTTGTGTTGTTGTGTAGGTTGTTGTGTGGTGTTGTTGGGTTGATTGTTATGTTGTTGTTGGATAGGATGTTGTGTGGTGTTGTTGGAAAGGTTTTTGGGTAATGTTGAAAGATGTAGGACAGGAAATTATCCCTTGATTTGCCGTTCACTCAGATCAAAGCCTAACTATTTCTATTTTGCATGACATTGTAGTTTCTGACACTCAAGACACTGGCGTCAGTAGATGTTAAAGAGTAGAAGTAAACACAAAGTTAAGCACAGACTAGATGACCCATCATATGACATTCCTAACAGAGTGGATGTTTAATTGACAAAACTTACAGAGTATGGTAGCAATGATAGTACCCTATCATCCTTTTCTGGCTGCTGCCAGGTACCAAATAGAGCTGAGTAACTCAAGTCCTTCCTATAATTTTCAGACCACTTGCCTTACAGTAACAGCTGGAGTTATGATCTTTAGACAACAAATACTTTTTAATTTTATTCAGTAAATATTGTGTTTCTATTTTAATGCTGTTTTTATTTTACTTTACTACCAAATGGAACCATTTGCATAGAAAATATATTAATTATGTAAGTAATTTGTGTATAAAATATTGACTTAAATTATATTTTTATATAAAATGTTATTCCTTTTATTCCTGAAAACCAATTAAAACGAACCCTGAGTAGAGCTAGGTACCCAATTAACCTGGAAGAATAGGGTGATCTCTATTGATTGGATACACCTTGTGTAAACCCACAAACTACATCACCTGACCAGACTTAGATTGGAATTATCTTATAAAACATTTCCCTTTTCAAACCAGACAGTCCATGGGGCAAGTGAAGTAGAGTTAACCTGTTTCTGTGACCTTGGCATTTAAAGGGATAGTGTGGTCAGCACTATGCCCAGCCGCCTTTACTTTCCCTAACATAAGAGTTAGGTACCAATCAGAGCTGGGTGGACTCAGAGACGTTTTACTTGAACCCGGATTCAAACCAGTGTTTCTTCCAGACTTTTTTCTCCGGGGGGGGGGGGGGGGGGGGGCACTTGAAATTTTCGGGGGGGGGGGGGGGGTAGACTTTCTTCGGGGGGGGGGGGGGGGGGCGGACACTGTTAAAAGTATATATTTTCTATGTAAATTATATAAATTTCATCTCTGATTCAAACTCGAGACTTTCATGTTAGCAGTCTACCACTAGGCCATGCATTCCCATTGTAAAGTGGATAGCCCAAAACAATCTTGAAAAAGACCAGTTGTCAGAAAGGTACAAGCAGATGGAATGACATGGACCCAACTGAAAAGAATCACCCAAACCTGAGTACAACAGGAGGTCTCGGGTTGTGTATCTATGCTACACCAGGGATCCTCATGAATGATGATTTAAAATTTAAACAAACATGACACAAAAATTTATTTTTATATTTTCTTTAATTCAGTTTTAGACAATTGTCCTGTACTTATTACCAGATATTTAAAGTCATCTCTTGCACAATATAATTTGCAAGAAACTATGACTGTCATAAAATCAATGCCCATATTTAAAATGTCAAACATAAGTGTATAGAAAATAATAAATCTTGACTTATAAAGAATATTCATTAAAATATATTAACAAAGTCAATCAAACAAATGAGTCCAATGGTTTCCTGAGATTCTGGAAGCAGTGTTCTGACAAGTATACTCTAACCTTAAGATGTTTGAATAAAATTATCAATCAGCTGACCATCACCAAGCTCATATATCCAACAATCAATCATTATGTCCACAAAGTTGTATTCTACTCACATGGCCAACAATCAATCATTATGTCCACAAAGTTGTATTCTACTCACATTGCTAATAATCAATCATTATGTCCACAAAGTTGTATTCTACTGACATTGCTAATAATCAATCATTATGTCCACAAAGTTGTATTCTACTCACATTGCCAACAATCAATCATTATGTCCACAAAGTTGTATTCTACTCACATTGCTAACAATCAATCATTATGTCAATAGTTAGGTACTACTCAATTTCCAACAATCAATCATTACATCCATAAAGTTGTGTTCAACTCAATTGCTACAACAATCATATAATTGGCACTATTCTGTCAACATGGTAATTTACCCTTGAATTAAAAGTATTTTTCTTTTAAAAAAAAGACATACATTACATCATTTAGAATTTGGCAATTCTAATTTGACGATATAATAAATGTATTTATTAAGACAATTTATTTACAAGACTAGACTTGAGCGCAGAATATTATACTTTTTCCTCAGGGACTGGATCTACTTTCCTTTTTTTAATCAGTGGGGATGATCTATCTAGCTTCTCTTTTCCTAGAGAGACTGCGCTTTTAGTGGCGTCACTTTTGCTCTGTTTTAGCTCAGCTGAGCTCTGAGTGGCATCACTTTTGCTCTGTTTTAGCTCAGCTGAGCTTTGAGTGGCATCACTTTTGCTCTGTTTTAGCTCCCTCTCCATCTCCAGCTGTTTACACCACCCATCCACAAGTTTTGTGGAGAAAGTGTGTTTTGCTGGAAGACAAACTGCCTTATTATTGTTAGTCCATACTGTCATATTCATATAATTGACTCTGTAATTCTTGCACAAAATTAGGATCGTTAAGGTTGTGCTTCATTAAGGGCATGGGTGGGTGATGAAAACCAAAATAACTAAAATAACCAAAATGCTTATTTCTAAACCTAAAGTGATTTTCAGAAGAAAAAAAAATAAAAACAAAAGATTTTGAAAATGTAATCCGTCACGATTGTTACCAATAAGTATCTCTATAATCCTGCAAGTTTTTATTGAATTCGCATAAGCCATGTTTGAGTTATTTCGATGTTAAAAAGGTAAATAAAATCCAAGATGGCAACAGAATGAAATTTTCGGCCATGATTTAATTTATTGACTTACCTCTGTAAGTCATAACTACATGCTAAATATTATAGCATTAGGTATTGAAAAGCATTTTGGTTATTTTGATTTTCATCACCCGCCCATACCCTTAAGGCTATTGTGTTAAATGAGATTGAAGATAAAGGTAGAAAAATATGTTTTGCTTAAACACAAAACAAGCTTTGTATTTTTTGTGGACAGTTTGGCCTAGCTGTGTGACCAAAACATAAAATTATAAAAAAAATAAATAACTGCAAGATTTGAATCCGGGTTCAAGTCAGTAGACCGTCCCTAAGTCCCCAACTCTGATGGGTACCTAACTCACATTAGGGAAAGTAAAGGCGGCTAATCATAGTGCTGACCACACTTTCCCTTCATATGCCGAGGTCACAGAAACAACTGAACTATACTTCACTTGCCCTATAGGTAAACGGAAAAAAAGTCACAGGAAAAAAAAACACAGAAAAAAAGTCACAGTTTTTGCTAGGAAAAAAAGTCACAGAAAAAAAGTCACAAAAATATTTTTAGAAATATTTTTTTTATTTGTTTAGAATTGTAAAATTTTGTATGTTTCTTGTTGTGGGTTGTATTTTTTATAGCATAAATTATTTATAGACGTTAAAAGCATTATGGTTTATAACAATTGTAAGTAAAAATACTCTAATATAATTTACACAACAATCTCAACTTTTGTTACGTATTTAGTTAAAAACGCGGTAGAAAATTTAACTATAAAAAAAATTTAGGCACATTTTGCCGTAGGCTATTCTCTGGTCGGCCTCTCCTCAGTAGGCATTGTCCGAACATATTTTGTGTTGTTGACGTCATGCGTCAATGACAGCATTTGAACCTTGTCGGCTTTCTTTTTTTATCCTAAGTGTTGTTATGTAATGAGCGTGATAAATGTGGGCAGTAAAGGTGGTTGAACTAAACATCTAAACATAACTATTGTGGCCATGAGTTGAGGGCAGCAAGTCAGACGAACTTACCATTTCACGGTAAATTAATGTTGGTATTTAAAAAAAAAACAGGATTAAAACCGTGGACTTTGGAGCATTCTATTAAGCGCTACTAATCTTAAGTTTAAAATAATTACAATCTACATACTTCATACTAAATATTTTTAGATGAATTATAAAAATTCCTATGCGTATACAGCCTACACACATTACATTACATTTAATTAATCCTAAGTTAATTTGCACTCTCTGAATATTTAATACATAAAAGTATTAACAAGTATCATGCAAATATATATTTGTGACTTTTTTTCTTGTGATTTTTTTTTCTGTGACTTTTTTTCCTGTGACTTTTTTTCTGTGTTTTTTTTTCCTGTGTTTTTTTTTCCTGTGACTTTTTTCCTACAATCGCCCTATAGGCCGTCAGGTTTGAAAAGGGAACTTTACTTACTACTAGATTGGAAGTTAATAACACTGTAAGGCATAATCTAATCCATTTGTAAAATTTAAAAAATTCTAATTACCATTAGTATGATCAAAAAATTCTTGCAAACTTTTTGGTCTATTGTGTAAGTTTTCATACTCATAGGCTTGAAACAACATCTCAAATTTGTCCAGGTCTTTAACAAAGATGGCTTCAGGGCTAGACTGGTTTTCATACTCCTAAACAAATTTTTTTAATATAATAAAGTCATTTCACAAGTTAAACTTCTCTACTTTCATCTTTCATCATGTGTGGTTGCAGCCCTTTGCTCCCCAGGGGCCACAAAGGAACGATGAATGAATGAACTTTCATCTCAATGCTATTTGTTAGGTAGCATCATCCTCCTGACCCAATCCCTGACACTAACGATATTCTGGCACCAAAAAAAACATTAATACAATGATGTATTGTTAGTGAGTATTTCAATGACAAATAAAAGTTAAGCGCACTTTCTGAACTTACAGTCGATTCAGCCGGAAAAAAATTGTACCTAGCTTTTACCCAAAACCTGACTGATCCATCTCAATTTTTTTTTCTGAGATATATTTACCATTTACGTTCTAAATCCACCAAGGCATAATGCAAAAATAATTGTGGGCTCATCTCTAAACATCATAACAAAAAAAAGCATAATATAGAAATGTTAAGAAAAAGAAACTTTAACTCCTTGTTAACATTTTTAAAAACTATGTTTCCGGGGAAGCGGTATTTCTCTTATCATGGGTATCATGTGATTCTAGGGCATGCATCTTCTCAGAACTACTTTTCGGACATATACTACAAACAGGAAGTGAACTCTGAATTTGGGCTAGCAATTTTAAACTTGACCACAATACAAATCTACAAAGGTGGAAGATGTGACACATAGTAAAACTTGAAAAGTGTTGTACTGTTTGAATGAAACGTATTAAACTTGACTGCACACTAGGGTTTTGGTTTTTGCTAATTTGTAATCAGTGTTTCTTCCAGACTTTTTTCTCTGGGGGGTGGGGTGGGGGGTGGGGGGGGGGGGGGGCGGACACTAGTAAAACTATATGTTTACTATATAAACATCTTATTTGGGGGGGGGGGAGAGTTTCTTCGGGGTGAGGCAGAGCCTCCCCTAAGAGATGGCTGGAAGAAACTCTGTTTGTAATGAAGGGTAAAGGTCAAATGATAAACTAACCATCCAAAGCTGGTACATCTCCTTGCCTGCCTCCTCAGATATAAGACTTGAAATATGAGATGTGGCTGTCTGAAATTAGCATTAAAAAAAAACATCTGTCTTACCACGCATTTTGACTTGCGACATGTATACTATACACATCTAGAAAAAAAACGTTGCCATCAATTAACTTTATCAGAACATGTATAGTGCGGCCTACTCACTTATCACAAAGTTTTTTTTCTAGACATGTATAGTATACAGTATACATGTCGCAAGTGTAAATGCTGTGTAAGGGGATGGTGTGATCCATTGGTAGAGTGTTCAGATGCTAACCTGAAGATCTCAAGTCCAGAACTAGGTCTGCACTCAGGAACCATTCAAGCCTCCCCCCACCTTAGCAACCATCCAACCCCTCCCCCCAACCCCATCTCAGCAACCATACAACCCCTCTCCCAACCCCACCTCAGCAACCATCCAATCCCTCCCCCATGGCATCAACCTTCCAACCCCACCTCAGCAACCATCCAACCCCTCACCCCCCAACACCACCTCAGCAACGATCTAACCCCTTCCCCCAACCCCATCTCAACAACCATCCAACCCCTCCCCCCTAATGCCACCTCAGCAACCATCTAACCCCTCCCTCCTACCCCATCTCAGCAACCATCCAACCCCTCCCCCCTAATGCCACCTCAGCAACCATCTAACCCCTCCCCCCAACCCCATCTTAGCAACCATCCAACCCCTCCCCCCAACCCCATCTCAGCAACCATCCAACCACTCCCCCCCAACCCCATCTCAGCAACCGTCCAACCCCTCTCCCATCACATCAACCATCCAACCCCACCTCAGCAACCATCCAACCCCACCTCAGCAACCATCCAACCCCTCCCCCATTACATCAACCATTTAACCCCTCCCACCTAATGCCACCTCAGCAACCATACAACCCTCCCCCCAATTCCATCTCAGCAACCATCCAACCCCCCACCCCCACCTCAGCAACCATCACCAAACATAAAAGTTATGAGGTCAGCCTAACCTTCTCTCTGCAGCTCTTATCCTCCTTGCTGACCCCACACCAGGGAGTTAAATCTCCAACAATACTCTCCGACATGTCATGGACCAAAGCTATCTTAATACACCTACAAAAAATTTTCCCAAAAATTTTTAATCAACTCTTAATGCACACTTAATTATTTATAGAAATGATGCTCAAAATCCATTATTTAAAAAAAATATTTTGAATTAAATTATATTGCATGAAAGTTTTATATTTTGATCTTATTTTATGTTCAATATTTGACCCCTATAGCCTTTTCTCTACAAGACAATAAGTCAACATAGCTTAAGACAGGGGTCTCCAAACTTTTCAGTCCGAGGGCCGCATTAACTATCAAATTTCAGTTCGGGGGCCAGTTTCTTCCAGGCATGTCTTTAATTTTTCTGGGCAAAGTTCCTCAGCCATCACCAACAAACAATTTTTCCTTAGACAAAAAGATCTCCGCGGGCTGGATCAGAGGACTTCGCGGACCGCATCCGGCCCGCGGGCCGTAGTTTGGAGACCCCTGGCTTAAGACATGGCAAGTCTGAAACTTCCTGGGTTACGAATGGTTTACGTATGATTAAAGTTAATTTAATCTCTTTTCTATTTTATCTGAGAGGATGTGGGAACACATACTCTGTAGGGGGAGGGAAGATGCGTAAAAACCACCGTACAAAGATATATGTGACAAAAGAATACAATATATCTTCCAATGAATATATATCTCATGAAGTGCTCATCTTAAAGTTTAGAGCTCCGACCTTCAGCTCTGTTAGGTACCTGACTCACATTAAGGAAACAAAGGCAGCTGGGCATCATGTTGATCGCACTTTACCCCTGAGGTCAATGAAACAGATGAACTCTACTTCATCTGGACAATGTATCTTTGGCACAAACAAGAAAAAGATCACAGTGATGATATTTCATCAGCTTTTTAAAATGGAATCAATATTGTGGGGTTTTTTTACTTATTTTCAACTTCTTCCTGAGTAATCCCTATCTAGTCCACTGTGACAACGCAAAGCAAAAGCAATAGATGTGTCTTACTTGTCTCTATCAAGTCCACTGTTTGAAGGTATAGCAAAAGCTATCATTGCCATTCTGTACATATGGTCACTAACACTTTCAGGGTCCTTTACATTCTTCCTCACCCATCCAGTTCGTTTCACTTGCTGGATGTATAAAATTTTAAAAAAGTCAAAATGATCATGGAAAAAGACAGAAACAAAGTTGTCAACTTTTTAAATTAAATTATTTTCTAATTTTAAAATGGAGTTTTTTTTATTTTCATGAATTGGATTTACCTATTAAATTTAATATTTGTAGGCACCATGTAGTATATGCTTATTGGAAGTAGGGCATTAAGACCTGTCAATTATACCCTAGTCATCCTCCCCCCCCCACCCAAAAATGTCCTTCTGTATATTACCCCCAGACCAAAAATCCAATAGGATGTTACCCCAGCCTAGCAGGTTCATTAAGTAACATTAAAAAAAACTGATTTAAATGTAATATAAATTTTATTATTTAAAAAAATTTCTGGGGCTTATTCTGCACTTTTCCAGTTAATTTTTAATTATAATACACTAAGCAAGAGTCAGAAAAAGCATCAGTCTACTTCAGGCATAATACTAATAGTTTCGCTGTCTGTGTATGTATCTATCTATCTGACAAGAACGCTCTAGAGAAAACACAAGCAATTTAAAAACTTTCACAGTGAAAGGAAAACGAAATATGACGTCACATAGTAGAAAATAATATCAAGGCGGAGAGTGCACACAGTAATATGACGTCATTGATTCTCGAGTAAACATTGAATAAAAAGGCAATTTTGTCCAATCTAAGTATTTTGCGTGAAGAGTTTCTTTCATACAATTCTTCGGGTAGTGGCTAAGTGCGACACCAGTGTTTCTTTCAGACTTTTTCCTCCCCGGAGGGGGGAACTTTTTCTAATCTAGAAAGTGTTTAGCGTGCAGTTTTTTTTTCAAGCATCTCTTCCGGTAGGGGCGAAGCCCCGCCCAGATTCTTCCTTTAGTTTGTATGATCTACAAATGCAATCAGTGTTTCTTTCAGACTTTTTCCTCCCCGGAGAGGGGTGGGGGTACTTGAAATTTTCGGGGGCGGGGGTAGAATTTTCTGGGAGGGGGCGGACACTGGTAGAAGTATATAATTATATTTCGTTGAATGGGACGGTAGACATGTTTTGGAGTGTTTGTGTGGGGGGGGGGGGAGAAAAGGGGGGCTTCCCAAGTAGAGTTGCCTGAAAGAAACTCTAAATGCGACTTTTGTCATGAATGAGATTAGGTGCATGGTTTAGGGATATGCCTATGACTATATTTTGTATAAATTAAAGAACCGAGAAAATAGACAGCACTATCAACCTAGCGCCCGTTGTATCCTTCCTCAACGGGCCATTTTTCTCGTTCTATAGAATTCCAGATTTTTCCCACTTGACCAGGCCAATTATATTACTTATTGAGAATATTTTTTAAAAACTTGATTTTTTAATTTGAAACAATAGAAAGAAGTTGATCAATAAATGGCATATTTCTGGTGTAGTGAAAATCTGCACATAAATTCAGTCGATATTAATACATGTTTGTGGTCGTTGAGCAACTAGTAATACCAAAATTAACTTGAAAGCTCAAAGGTAGAGTTCAAAGTTTGCAGACTTCAAAACTAAATATTATTTTGTCAATATTTTGAGGGCCATAAAATATTTGCAAACATTATATTTCTTTTTTTTCTTCTCTACTTTATTCACCTCCCAGTGGATTAGGTCTGTTCCCAGTTAAATTTTATTTCTGATTAACTTTCCGATTCTGGAAATGTTCATTTCCAGAAAAAAAAATTATTTCCAGATAAATTTCTGTTTCTTTTTTTTAGTTTGATTCCAGGTTAAATACAAATCTGGCTGTATTTTTATTTACTGTTAAATTTCTGGATCAGGTTAAAATGCCAGTTCCAAATAAAGTTCTGTTTCTGGTTCAGTTTTGTAGTTGTTAAGGTTCTGATTTCCGCATCAGGTCAAAATTCCATATGTGGTCAAATTTCAATCTCTGAATAAAGTTGGTTTCCAATTAAATTTTGTTTTCAATTAAATATATGATTCTGATCAAATATTTTGTGATCCGTTTAAAATACAGGTTCCAGATAAAGTTCGGTTGTTTTTTTTTAAACTTCCTTTTTTGTAAAATCTCCAATTCCAGCTAAATTTCTGTTTCCTGTTAACTTTCACAATCTGGTTAAAATGCTGGTTCTGAATAAAGTTCAATTTCTGGTTCGATTGTATTTCCTTTTTCCTTTTCTGGATTTGGTTAAAATTTTAGTTAAGGTTATATTTCTGGTTTAAGTTCCTGTTCAGTTTAATTTCATGTTCAGGTTTTAATCCTGCCTGGGTTAAATTACCAGTACTATATAAAGTTAAATTTCCGATTTCGTTTCAATTTTGTGAGCCAGAACCAGTTAAAATCTCCAGTTCTAGTAAAATTACTGTTTCTGGTTAAATTTTGGTTCCCATTCCGGTTCAGAGGTTTAGGTTCAGGTTGATGTTCAAATGACGGTAAAATATATGGTTTCGGCTAAAGTTCCTATTCCATTTAAAATTTCAGTTTCATTTGAAATACAGGTTCAGTGTTATAGCTCTTTTTCTGAGTAAGTTCTGATTCAGGATAATTTTACATTTCCCAGTAAATTTTCAGTTCTGTTTCCAGATAAATTTCTGGTTCAGAAGTTTAGGTTGAGATTCAGGTTGAGACGGAAATAATGGTTTTGGTGTAGAAAAGAAAAGAAACACTATCAGCCCAGCGCCCATTGTACTTCCCCATCAACTGGCTAAATGTCTAGTATAATAATTATAATAATATAGTTACATTTTTAGAGACGTTTATATAACAATATAGATAATTGAATAAGTAAGTCTAATAATAAAATTAACATTATTTAGGCCTAGACCTAATATTTAAATTAATTAAATTTTTATTTGAGCGTAGTATTTTAAATTTTTATTAGGCTAAACTAAATAAATAATTTAGTTTCATTTTTAGTCAGATTTTAACCACATTTTTTAAAATTAAAATGTTTACGAAACTCAACAAAAATTACTGGATAATTATCTATTTCCGAAGCTATGTCCATATTCACATATATATATATATATATATATATATATATATATATATATATATATATATATATTATATATAAGCAATTACCCGGCTAGTAGGACTGGGGCCCTAATAAAATTTATTTTAAATTATTAAAATTAGCCTACTGTAGTGTTAAATAAATGTTTAGTGGGAGGGCAAGGGCGATCATAGAGTACTCGTCTACAGTCTACACTTCTACAGCATATACGATTGCTAACCCGTAGGGCCGTAGGCGTAACCCGACACTCGACAGTCTCTTCTCGAGTTCAAATTCCGGGTTTGTCACCAGACTCAGTCAACAAGTAGAACGCTGAGTTGAAAAAAATAAAACAATGCTCACTTTGAGTTGCCCGATGAGTCTCATAAATTCAAAAAATTTAGAAACACTAGACGTCATTTTCACAAGATATGTAAAACTAGCAGCTGATAACACCGGCGTATGCACTTGATTGTTTTCTTTCTTTTTTTTAAAACGAATTTTATTATTGTTTACAGTTACTGTCTAGCTCTTTTAATTTGAAAGTTTATAATCTTTTAGTTCTAAAAAATATTTCGTTTCCTAATAAATAAACGTCTAATAAATAAAATGTTGACGAAAACCCATGTAGATTATTGTAGATCTAACTGTAACTTAAACAAATGTATTTATCATTCATCATTTACAAAATAGGTATAAATAATATTAAAATGGTTCATCAAAACTGTAAATATGATTAGGGCCTAGATCTAGATTTATATAATGTGATCTTTTAAAGTGTTTTTTTCATGCCCAAAATTACTTTTTAAAAAAAAAATTAGGCCTATAATCCTGAGTTCCTGAATTTTTTTTTAATAAATTAAAATACCCAAGTGCTTAGTACATTGCCTAGTTGAAGCTTAGATATTTATTATTTTTTTTTTTGCAATTGACAGAAGATTAATAAAACTTTCAACACGTTTTGTGTACAGTGTGTAAGCATTACTCTTGACACTTAGCCTGTGGAAGTCCTTCCGGCAAAAAAAAAAAAAAAAAAAAAAAGCGCTCCCGTTTCGGGTCCGGTGACTTTTACCGTGCCATTAACCTAGAAAGTACTTAAAACCGTTAACTATCATATATTACGTTTATTTTCAAACTTTGGCCGTGTATAAATTTAGTAGATAGGCTCAAATGAGGTTTTATTTTTTTTTCTACTCCATTAGCAACCCCCACCCCCCAATGGTCTACCGCTGTAGACCGCCTTTCTTTCACCCGCTCCTAACCCCTCCTGTTCTCCCCATAAGCTGCTCCACTTAAAGTAAAATAGTCTGCTCATTAGATTGGTGGAAGGCTAGATTATTTTATGAAGATTATCTCACTAAAGTAACTAACAGAATCGTATGAGCTGCGAAACGCTGATGGCTGATGAAAACACTAGGCCTATAGTTTGGGGCGTTTTATGTTGGTTGAGAGACGCTTCGCACACTGAAAACAACCTTGTTTTCTAATTAGGCTAGCCTGCAAAATTGTCTCACTAATTTTTAAAGTTTTTTTTTATTTTTCCCCTCCCTCTTTGGTGACCCTAACGGTCGGAGTTGCAAGATTCGACCACCAATCCACTTTCACTGCGAAAAAGTGTACTAATATTAATAATATTTTAGTCTTACGTAAAGTTAAAGTAATATATTAATAACTAGATCTATTTCTCAAGCTTTTCGTTAATATTTATTTTTGATTTTCTCTTATCGTCTTCCCCAGGTATTTATTTAATTTTTTCTTGTGAAAATTTGATCCAGAGTTGTTTCTTTTTTCTTTTAAAAAAACTGGTTTTGTTATTGAAATTACAAGGCCTAAGTAGTTTTTTTTTTTTAAAGGGGCAATGCAGCAACTATTCTCCATATTGTGGTCACCCTAGAAAATATTTAAAAAGTAGAACCGATATCCTTAAAAATGGCGAATTCCATGCTATTCAGACGAGGGTATCTGCTTTACAATCAAAATTCCTCTTCTCTTTTCAAAGCCATTAGTACTTTTCAGAGTCGATTTTCATCAGATAAAAAGGGCGAAGGAAGTAAGGACAAAGCAGCCACAATCAGATCAAAAGCAATTAATAAAACAAATGATGTCTCACCCGATCCTGTTCTGAACAACAAAGAAGTGAAAGGAGAAAGTTCAGTTTTAGCAGAGGACATTTCGTTGAATCAGTCTAACCCTTACGAGAAGCACTCTTCTCCTGAAGAAGCGCTTACTAAATTTGCTAAGTTAATAGAAAAGGTGAAAGCTTCTCAAAATGAGATTTCTGGAGTTAAAACTACTCATGAAAATAGTGACATTGAAGCATCAGAAGATTCAAAAATGGAGGAATCAACAGAGTCGTTTGCAACTATGTTTAGAAAATCCAAGTTCGTAGCATTAGGAGAACATAAAGGCAGATTAGTTGAAGGGACTATTATTGAAACTATGGGAACTGATTTGTATATTGATTTCGGAGGGAAGTTTCATTGTGTCTGTCCTCGCCCAAATACTCCAAACAGTGAAATGTAAGTTAGTTACCTCAACTAGTACTACTCTACACCACTACACTCAACGCAGGGGTCCCCAAACTTTTCAGACCGAGGGCCGCATTGACTATCAAATATCAGTCCGGGGGCCAGAGTTTCTTCAAGGGCATATCTTCGGTGTTATGGAGCCCCCCCCCCCCCTGAAAAACGTCCACCTCCCCCCCCCCCCCCTCCAATAAAATATAATTTATATATAAATATATACAATTTTCAAGTGCCGCCACATCCCCCCCCCCCCCCCCCAGTTATACCCAAAGCTACATTTTCAAAATGTTTTGAATTTTCTGGGCAAAGTTCCTCAGCCACCTCTAACAGACAATTTTTTCCGCAGGCCGGATGAGAGGACCTTGCGGGCCGCATCCTGCCCGCGGGCCATAGTTTGGAGACCCCTGCTCCTTTGGCCTACTCATACTAGATCTATATTCTAGATCTATTACTAATCTAGATTCTCTCTTACTCCTGAGACTTACTCTCTTTCTTAGGTGTCTTAGTACTACTAGATCTAATTCATTTTCAAACCTTGCTCTTGCAATTTAGGTTCTTGTAAATTAATGTAAAAATGCTGGCAGAAAAGGTCAAAGCTACAATTGTAGGGCCAACTATTACATTAGTATTATTATTATCAACAATACATACCTAATAGGATTGATATTTAATTCAAAGTGACTACGCGTCTCGCAGAGCGCAGCCTGTATCGAAGTGACTATGCGTCTCGCAGGTTGTATTATCTTGTGATTGAAAATACTTAGTTTTCCCTATTTCAACACATCCGGTTTGGTTGAGTCAACAGTGTGCCAGCTGTAGACTGTAGTTCATAGACCTGGAGCTCCGAGTTCGAACTCAGGGTTAGCGCGACCGATACTGGTTTCTTTTTTACATTTAATTCTTTTCATATTGAAAACATGAGGTGTTATTATTTTTTTTTTAAATAAAATTTCCAAACATAGTCACTGGCGTGATTGCTTGCTTACGTTTACTATCAAGTGAGTGAAAAATCCCACCATGGCCCACGGTCAGCAGGCCTAAAGCATACGTCATAGAATGAACACAAGTTCACGAGATCATCTGTGTCTTCACTTCTCTCTTCCCCCCCACCCCTTAAGCAAATTGAAAGTTTTTAAATTTCACATAGGATTAATAATACAGACTTAGATCTACTACTATTTACTAAAGCCGGGTAGTTTGATTTAGATAGATTGCTGCTGGATCTAGGACTATCATCTGACACTGTACCGTACTGTTTTTTTACAAGTACTAGACTAGATCTAGATTCTTAGGTGTTGAAATAGTACACTTAAACTAGGTCTAGATCTATGTCAACATTAAATTGCTAACCCGAAAACAAAAACGGGCAGTCCTGATATCTATTTTATTTAGATCGCCTGCCACTTAGGGTAAAGATTTAGCGTAACGTGGAGTGAACCACGCAAATGTAGCCTATTTAATTTGTATTTTTATCATCAGGGTAGTCGTAGTACTTTCAAAATAAATGCACTGAATTTTAATATAATGACAATAGCTTCGCCTATATTTTTAGTGGTCCCAATATTATAATAAGATATGTCTGTTATGGTTATGATTAGGATTGTTGAAAAAAATTGGGACTAAATATCAACCAACAGATAGTTAATGTTAAATCATGCATTTTTGTAATCCATGTTAAAAAATAATTTTTATCATCATTTGTATATTTGTCGTAAAATCAGGAATATCCTATGTAAAAACAAATAAATTAAATATAGCTAATGCACATTCTATTTCACAGAAACTACCGCAGGGGCGCTCAAGTCTTACTTCAACTACAGTGCATGGAAATGAGTTCTGCATTTTTGGGCTCTGACATTCATGTGACACTTCTAGAGGCAGATGCCACGTTGTTGGGGCTTAAAAGAAAGAACAGGTAATCTATGTTTTAATATTATTTAATCTCAATTTTTACATGAGCATTTATTTTATACTAGCCGAGTGTGAATGGGTAACCATTCGAAATTGTATTGTAAGTAAAAGAAAATTGATAAAAGAAAATGCATGATGATTTGTTAAACAGTATTTAGGGTTACACAAGTTAAATGTTACTTTTTATGTTTTACAACATGCAGATCATACGATCAGAATGAAATATTTCTATTTTCACCATATTTTAAATACTCAGCCATAGCTTTGTTTACATAATGAGTAAATATAATTATCCACGTGTTAATATTCTTCGAAAATAATTCTTGAGAAAACTTAACAAGAGTGGGTTTGGACTGAATAACAAAACCACAATTTGAACTCAAATTAACATCCATACTGCCAGAATGGGGAAGGATGATTATAATAATAATATTTCAACTTTACTTGCATCTTTGGGAACAGGGAGCATCATTCATACGGTTAATAAAAAATTGTAAATGCTCATGCATTTATTATTAGTATTACAATTTTTTTATTCGCAGAGCAAATCCAACATAGCCGAGAACATGTGTAGAGAATTACAGTTGAAATGTGGACATGAGTTTCATACTTTGAATGTGAATAATTCATCAATATCTGGTATAAATCAATAAACACTGTATGCAGGAAACTTAGTATGTGATACTAAAATTATATCATTTGTTAAATGAAATGCTATTGTCTTATTTTCCATTAGTTATAGATGTGCACATAGATTTGTGATTGATTAAAATATTTTTATGAATATATGGATATGTTGTCTTGTTGCATTTTTTCTGTGAACGTAAACACAAGTAATTTCCATGCTTATAAAATTCAAATAATAATTTTATATTTTAGTTAACTACTAAACTTCACTCTAACTTATTTTTTATTTCTTAGGTCAAATTTAAAATTTTATTTTTAAAAATGGCTACATCATTCATGATGTATTGTACTATTAATTACTCAAAAAATCTATTTTCTCTTGCATAGTGCTGACTCCACAGAATGTTCCTGTATGGTGCGGTCTTAAAAATACGTGAACAGATTCATAATTGCAGCCAAATAATACGTATGTTAGTTATATCATCTTCATCTTTTCCAGTTTTTGCCCTCGACATGAAGTAGAGTTCATCTGTTTCAGGTGATAGTGTGGTCATCACTATGCCCAGCTGCCTTAGTTTCCCTAACTTGAGTTAGCAGTCATAAGTTCTACCTTCTGACCTTCTGCCAATAGTGTAAGCCCATATCTAGGCATCTCTTCAAAATAAAAATGCTCTGGCTCATGTAGGATTCTGTCATGGAGTTAGGGTTCAAAGTTATTTTCAGTATAGAAATATATTCATTTCATAATACTTTAACTTAAATAAAGGATGTTATGAACATTGTGTCCTGTTCCTCTAAGTACCCAAGACAAATGTTGCAGATGAAATAGTTATCTATTTCAATTAACTCTGTAAATAAAATGGTAAGTATTATGTCCAACCACCTAAGTAATGTGAGTCAGGTACCCATCAGGGCTTGGTGGATTCATGGATGAGATCCGAACTTGAATCTTCAGGCTACTTGCAGTATGCTTTACTACTGATCGCGCAGTCCCATTATGAGCCTAAACTAAGATATTTTAAATCCTTATGTGGGTTGTAACTTTTGTGGAGGTTACCTATTCTATTATAAAAGGGTTATTTTTATTATCTTTAAAAAAGATTTGGGAAAAAAAAATTTCAGTCATGAGTTGGCTACACATTGCGTAGTCTGAAGAGCTAATTGGAAGTTACTTGAACACAACAAAAACAAGAGCAAACTATGAATGAATTTGTTAATTTTTATTTACAAATCAAACAATCACATGTTCATTAAAAACATTTGCTGGTATAGTATTGGTAAATTATTGCAGTTTTCGTTGCTCAAAGCCACACTGTTCTAAGGCAAATTTGGAATGGAAGATCATGTTAAGTACAGTAACACTTTAACAATATCCAAGATAAAGGAAAACATTGTTTTGTTAATGAAGTAGAAGTTTCAAATTTTATACTTGCTGAGCTGTTATAATAGATTGATTTTTTTTTCACAAGGTGAATTTTTTAAAAAATGTAAGTTATTATTTTGACAAAATATACAGAAATTGTTTTTTTTTTTAATTTATACTATTTTAACAAGTCTTAAAAGTGTAGAAAATGCATAGAACAAGGTAAGGCCACTGGTATTGCACAAACACAGAAATATTTTTCTACAGTTGAATTAATGCTAAGAAATCAAATACAAACAAAAATCTTTAAAATAAAGTTTTAAAAACCTTACTTGTGTAATTTGTTTTAGTTGTAAATTATAATGTATTTAAATGTGATATCTATTGCCTTTTTAGAAATAAAACGCTTTTTTTTTACATTTTAACCATGTATTTTGTTTAATAATACAGAGTATTTCAGAAATTATAAATACAACAAATCTAGAATATCAATAATACAGTAAAATAAAATACAGCCTTTTAACTTTAAAAAAAAACTATATACACTTGGTAAATTAGTAAAACTGATAAATGATTGCAAATAAAATAAATGTCACAATTAAAATTGTAAAAATAAAAATAATGAAACTCATACAATGTAAAGGTCTAATTATTGCACAATAACCCTGGATAACTGGTAAATTCATTTACTTTTGTAAATAGTAATGGGCGTTATTTTAGGTAGCTACTAATTATGTTAATTAGTCTCTCCACAAATGATAAATCAAAAGTTTGTCTAATAGAACATTTTCAAATTAGTATGCGTAACATGTACGCTTCAGTAAAAACAAAGCAAAAAAGAAATCTATTTAGCTAACTATTACCATTTTTTTTTTAAAAAAAAAGCTGATAATGCCAATCAGGTGTAAAAAAAAAAATAATAATTATAGAATGCATTACACTATCAACACTAATCTATTTTTTTTTTCTTTTTGATTAGCGAACCGTTTTCTTGCCACTAAAAGCTGTTTCGGTGTAGCGCGAATTTCGCACCCCACCCACTTTGCACCTTTTGCTTCTTTGTTCGCTAGAGTAGCCCCAGTTTCCGGCAAATAGTATTACTACGCCAGATGGAACATTCATAAGCAAATCATTTCCTTCTCATCTGGGTGACCACACATTGGCGGGGTACACTGAGCCCCTGTTGCATAAAAAATATTGTAATTGGATATTAGTATATGAATGCGTTTCATTAAGGCCTATTGTTCTTCACTACAAAAAACATACTCCAGATGTACGTATAAATTACTATACGATACTCAAATAATGTAGTTTTAAAATATATTTGTTTTTTAAATCAAAGCGTTGATTTATCTTTTTTTCGATTAGTGATTTTTTTTCTGTACTGCTTTATTTCACAGCTGTTTGCACTTAATGCAACCCTATTTCTTTTTTATAATGAAATGGCTTGCATCCCTGATAGTTTTCCAACAAATAAACATGAAAATAAACTGTCTTTCACGGCCATTATTCGCCATGGAACTTATTCTAGAACTTAAAAAATAAGTACAAAAAGCAAGTCAACCTGCTTTCAAGTAATTGTAAAATAAACCGGTAGTGATCTCCCCTAAACTTTCTCGAATATTCTTATATAAAACAACAGGGGATGGTAACTGGGGATATAGTTATGATTTTTAATCCATTTTAAATACTTAAACTTTTAAAAATAGAATAGAATCTCATAAAAAAAACATTGCGCACCAAGCAAACGCCGAATAAAAACGCGTATAATAGTGCGCAATAATATTAGTACTTTAAAAATTTACATTAGTTTTTTGAGAAATCGGAAGTAGCGTAAATTACTACTTCCAGTCAACGGAAATTACTCAAAATTTAACAGAAGGTAGAGAATAAGATCTTTTACTTACATGTGAAATTTCATTTATCTATCTGAAATAGTACTCAAGTTATAGGCTTTTGAAAAATTCAAAGTAGGAAAAGTACCACTTCCGGTTATCGGAAATCGCTCAAAAGTTGATACGGATCTACGATTTTGATAAAATACTTATATATGAAATTTCATCAACCTAGCTGTAACGGTACTCAAGTTATCGTGTTTACACACGGACAGACAGACAGACAGACAGACACACACACACACAGACATACGGACAAGATTGCAAAATTATGTTTTTCCGTATCAGTGAGGTGTAAAACGTCGAGATTTGTAAAAATCTCGATTTTTTTTTTTTGCACGATTACAATACTTTCTCTATACTACGTATATACGAGAAAGTAAAAATGAAAAAGAAAATCCAACACTATTATAAAACGCCCTATTTGATTGGGTGAGTTATTGATTTGTCTGTACTCTTCAAACGTAGAAGAGCGATGGTGCGGGTATTCATATTTATTGTTTCGTTGGTTTCCGAAGAATACAAGGTAATCCCGAATTTGTAAGTGGGTGCTAATAAAGTGGTTTGTAAAGGTTCATTGAGTAGTTTGTTGACTGATCCCGATTATAGACAACTTGTAGACAGCTGATCAGGAATATAGACATCTAGTTGTCACACTCGTTTAGATAACAGACTAATAATTGTAAGTCTGGTTCAGAATAAAGTTCACTGGTGACTTGGTGTGAATTCTAGACAGTCTGTTTATGATTAAATACAGAGTAAACAGCCTGTACCTGATTAGACACAAGGTAGATGTTCTTGATTATAGACCAAGTAGGTAGTCAGGTCTGTGGTAGGGTTTTCTTGAATTCTCATTCATATAGTCAGTAGGCCAGTTCACCGCCCCATGGTCGGTAGGGCTTGACGGAACTATTGCCCTGGTTTTGGTTGTGGTTCTGGTAGGCGGCGCTGCCGTTCTGCGCGGACATCATCGAAGACACTGAGTTCATGTTCAAAGCGGAGACGGGAAACTGGGAATGGAGGTTGGGGAGGGTGGAGAACAGGGGAGGGGATATTTGAGATTGGGCCACGGAGTTGTGGTTCATGGGGGTGACGGGGGCGGTGGCGCCCGTGCTGCTGGATAGACGCATGTGGCCGGATAACAGCGAGTCGGAGTGTCCGTGTCTGGAGGTGTCTGTGAAGGAGGAGCCGGCAGAGTAGATGCCGGAGGAGCCGCCGACCACCCCGCCTTGGTGGGAGGAGGTGGACATGGGCGGGATGTGCTCGGACTGGCTCAGGTGGTGGTGCTGGGGTGGGATGACGCCGGACATGGGCGTGGACATGGTGGAGCCGCCGTACTGCGAGGGTGTGAAACTCCCGTGCCCGCCCATGCTGGTCATGGAGCTCATGCCGCTCCAGGTGTTGCCCTGGAGGGAGGCTTTAGCCGCAGCCTCTCTCTGGGCGGAGTAGCACTGCAGGTGGCCGAGAAGACGCAGGCGCAGTGGGTCTTGTAGGTCCAAGCCTTCGACGGCCACGAGATAACGCGCAACTTCCGCTGCGCACTCCCGGAAACCGACGCTTCTGTAATCGACTGCTACAGCGTGTGGGTCAAAGTTGTAGTTGTTGATGCCTGCAATCAAAGAAAATGTTGTTATTGCCAGATATTGAAGGTAAAACTGGGGATGGGGGGGGGGGGGTAATGTTACTGTTAATATTTATAAAGATTTATAATTCCAAGTCAAGTCCTAAAATGGTATGCGATCAGTATAGTTATTAATTCCAACGTCCGTAGCGGACTTTTAATTTTACCTCTATCTTTATTTTTATTTTATTTTAATTTTTTTGTAAATGTAGTTATTAACTCTGGTTTATTTTTGGCCACTTTCTACAGTGACGCCTATGGTTGACCGCGCCCTTTACTCGCAACCCTACCTATGCTACTGAATATGATTCCGATTGATCAAAAATATGTCACAGAGGAAAATTGTATAATGCGCGCGCACAACTCACATCGCCACGCCGGCGAAGACAAAGCTGCTTTACCGAGGACTGACACACTACCTAGCGGATTATACTATTAATAATATTATAGATGTATTATTTATTACTGTTTTATTAAGATGTGGTATGCTACTTATTACTAATATTACTAGGATCTTATGGGCAAATCACGCCAAGAGATGAATCGTTGTTTTTTTTAGGCTGTCATGAAACCTGTCGACCATCACACCTCATGTTTGGCGGGATTATTTGCATTATCAGCCCCTTGATGGTCGAGATTGTTGCGTCCAAATTTTGACCGCCTGTTTCATGACCCCCCCCCCCCCCCTTCCCATCGTCCTGAGTTCGTGTGATTATAAGATGGATCATCTCCCTAACACCCCCCCCCCCCCTCTCTCCGTTCAGTCCACACTGTATCAGACCTCAAATGTGTTTGTTTGGAACACAACCAAATATTTGTGGCGTTGGGCTCAATGCGCATTGTCCTCGCGCATTCTTTCATAAGCGCATGCGTCGGTAAACAAATCACCGCCTTTGGTGTATGAACTTCACAAAAACAAAACGTCACAGCCTGTGAGGCAGGCAGACGATCGGTGGTATTAACATCAAATCACATCGAAGCCTTGTCTTAGGCTAGTTTTCTTTCTCATACCCAACACTCAAACTCACATAATATTAACTTTTTTTTTCTTCATATGAGCTAAAAGTTGAACCATACAGATTTGTTCTTGGTCATTTTCAATTATTTGATGCTTTAAAGTTAAATGTATATACTGCATATAATTTTGTTTTTATTTTTACGTTCAGATTTTTATTTATTGATAATAATTAATTTTTATATTAATTAATTATGTTTTCAAATAAACATCTGCTAATGGTATTATTATCTCTAATTTCCACATCGCCCCCTTAACGCAAATATACCCGAATTTATTCCAGAAGTTACAAGTAAACTTAAATGTTCGATACTTTGTTATAAATTGGCAACAGTGATATCAAGAACGGCAATTCAATTTTTTCCCCTCTCGAGTTGTCGCGCTTCTCGCGTCTGTTTTGACTGGCCGTGAAAAGTGTAAACTGGGGCATCACGGTACACAGACAAGTGTTTGGCTTTTGAACAATCTCCTGTCGCGAAGATATGAAAATCGCGTCCATTGTTACACCAAGTGTGGGAGAATAGTCCGCCCTTGATTTGCGCAAAATAGCTTGCCTTCCCCTCCTTTCGCACCCCTCCCTTTCCACGATAAGGGTTGCATTCAGTAATGCGGGAGTATTTTTTTCTAGCAAAAAAACCACCTTATGCGTAACATTTTATAACGCATAATTCATAATCACGGATACATTTTACTCTTTTAATTTATAGTTATCGTTTTCTGCATTGCTATATTTATTTAATTTCAATACAATAATGAATGAAAACAATGATGATTATTATTATTATTATTAATAATCGACTGTATGATTATTATTATTATTATTATTAGTAATCGACTGTTTACCTTTTTGATGAAGGATTTTCAAGTGGTCCACTGTCATCTGCAAAATCTCTGCTTTTTCAAGTTTGGCTGAGCCCTGGAAGAAACGAAAAATAATTTTTAAATGTGTAACTTTGTATTTGAAAAAAAATGCGTATTTACCTGGGTATATCTATTAAGATTATATCTATTAAAATATGTTTGTCTTAATTTAAATAGGGATACAAGTCCATTTACCCCATGTCTACCCCCCCCCCCCCCCCCCCGATTCGAATGTGAAACTTCTACTTTTTACTTTATTAATATTATTATTATAAGACGTTCAAAGTGGTTGAGATATATGTACAACTCCATATGATTTGGATTGTACACGTTTCATCTCTAATACGTTGTTTTTCATCCCACGTTAGTAGACATTTTAATCATATCATAGCGGAAACAAATCATTGATGTGACATTTATCACTGACATAAATGTCATGTATGATTTACTCTCGCTTGAAGGTCAGAGTTCCCCCCCCCCCCCCCCATACAATCCAAATCATATGGAGTTGTCTCCCCTCATGGGAGCACTCCCGGAGTTACCGTTCGTGGATATCCAATACAATGCTGTCTGCCTTATCCTGGTGATATTTCTTAAGTCCCCTTGTGCCCCCCCCCCCCCCCAATTAGAGGATTAACCAGTTTAAACAACGCAAATCTTCTGACATTCAATGTTAAATTAGACAAGGGGTTACACCAAAAAAAAAAACTACTCCATTAATAACTTCTCATATGTATAGCGTACAATTATAACTACTATCTCTGAGGGACGTAAGATTTTTCAGCATGTCATTGTTGAAACACAAAGAGCGTCATCAAAGAAAGTATACAATTTAAGCATATAAGTTCGTGATTTAACAATTTTAAAAATGTGCACTAATACTTATTTTACAAATGTATCCAATGAATTTTTTTTTACAAATGTAAAAATAAATTACAGCAAAAGAGTCGTTATCATATTACGTAGCTAATTTTTTAAAAATCAAAATTTAAAGTTTGTAACATATTTTTGGTATAAAAAAGCATATCTGGTACTCTTTTGCATTAATAAAGGGAGATCACTGTAACAAAAAAGGGGAGATAAAATGAACATACATCGACGTTTACCTGCTTCTCAAAAGCGGAGGGCACCAAGCGGCGTAACTCCGAGAGACTTGTATTGATTCGATCTCTCCTCCTCTTTTCGATGATCTGTTCCAAGGAAAAAAATTATTGATTAGCTTACGTGTGAACAAAGAGTGCATGACACTTTTTTACAAAAATAAACTACAATCATTAAATTCGTTTATTATTTTTAAAACTGTAATTTTATGTATATTCAAAATGTCAATGCTTTAAGGTATAAACGTTAGCAAAAACTACTTATTGGATTTACAAACGATTGTGTCATTAATTAAAGCTTTTGGATAACCATTGTATTTAAACTAAATAGATCTAGTTCCAGTCCAATTGGAAATGTTCAGTTTAAATTTTTAACAATAAAAAATTAAAGATATATTAAAAAAATTTAAAAATAACATTGATAAAAAAAATTCGTTTTAAAAAGTGACATTTTATTTCTGTTGGAATTTATTCGATTCATTCACCCACTCTTTGTAATAGTATCCCGTCGGTCCAATTTATGTTGAACGTTTGCTTTTATAAGCTTATATTAATGTCATTTAATCAGGAGTAGTTGGATACACATCGTTATTTAATGCGTGTAAGTTGCTTTTGAGAGTTTAAAGTGTGTAGATAATTCATTCAATCTAAGGTTCAGTACATCATATGGATCCACCCCCCCCCTCCCCGCCCACCCCAAGCCCACGGAGTGAACTTATACAAAGACAAAGAAACAAAAAGATGGCGCTCACCCCTCGTCTCTTCTTCCGGTCTGTGATCTGGCAGCTTTGTGATGGCGATCTGGAATCAACAAGAAAAAAAACGATGATACTAATCACTCACACTAATTACTAATGCAGCTAACCAATCACACGAAGACTAATTAGTAGTACAGCTGAATAGTCATACAGACACGGATATATTTTATACATAACACGAAGTGTGTGAATCTGTTACTACTATGTTGATTAATTCAGTCTGGTATCATCGAAGGTCAAGGACTAATGACTGACTCAGTCTTGACCAATCAGAAAGAAGCACATAATTTTATTCTGTCATAAAGTTCTTTATCAATAGAGTTCAGCTCGCTTTTTTTTCCAAACAAATATTTTTACATTTTACCACTTAATTAAAAGATAAATCGTAATATTGGATAACTAAACGTAAAATAAGTTCATTGCACTATATGCCCTGAAATTGTTTTGATTCCAATGGATGTAAAATCCTATACTGAAGGGCGATGAAAATTAAATTGTAAATGTTAAAACTCACTGTAAATAAAAGCTAATCTTTAAAACAAAACCAATTGTTTCCTTGTGAGAATACTGCACTTTTTAAAAAGTATCATTCAAACAGTGAAAAAAGACGTTACATTAAATTTAGTAAACAAAATGTGAATATTCACCATCACTTTTTAAGTTATCTAGTTTTCTTTTGTATTTGAGTCTTTTTATTCCCATTTTGATAGCTTCTGTATTATAAATATTGTTTAGTTATTTCATCTTTCTTTGTTGTTTTTTTTCCACATTTGATATACACGAATACAAATAATGAAATAATTTATAAAACAATAAATCCATTTCACTAAGTTATGTTATCACAACGTTTCACACAAATTTAATGTAAGCACATTATTTCTTGTTAATGTATAATCATCACAGAATTCCACATTAAAAACGTCTTTGTTTGAATCAGTTGTTTATTTTGCCTAGGTATTTCACACTAGGTATCGCGATTACCTAAAGAAATTGGCTACATTTGGTAGTAAAATAAATTTTTAAAAATAATTTCTAATGTTTCAAGTAGGCTTAAAGTCGAAAATGGCTCTATCTAAATCCAAAAACTTAAAGGCAATCCACGAATATGATTTATTAGATTAATGATTTCACTGTGACTCAAATGAACGGATACTTTAATCTTAGATGAATATGATTATCATAATTTTACAAAAAGTAACTAAGTTTTTTTTCTCTTATTAAAGAAGTTCCAGGATGATTTTTTTTAAACAAAACTGAATAACAAGTTTTGGCTAAAATGTTTTATTCCACATCTAGAACTGAAGTCGTTAAAGCTGAACCCTAACGCCGCATTAGATTGAAATAGCTATGCACAAGGATGTGAGCACTCGGCAAGCACGTGTAGATAGAGCTGAGCAAAGCTGCAAGTTAAAACAGGCACTCACCCTGGTTTTAGGCGCTCGTCGAAGCCATCATCGGAATCACTTTCACTAAGGCTTCGCTTCATGTCTAACTCTAGGGCGGAAGGCCGGCCGGGCTGTCGTAACAGTGTGTAAAAAGGAAACGCCGTTGGAGAAACTATGATTGCACAAAATGACGTCTGATAGCCGCCGTTCGCCGGATACTGCGTCCTTCCTGGAACACGTTCGGGGCTGGAGTGAGCACACGACCGAGGGGACGACTCAAAATAAAAGCTCACGGCTGACACCGCCCCACGGCCAACGCCGGACGCCGATTGGCGCGCGCCGGCCGCGTGTATGGTAACGGTCGATCAATAATGTCGCCTGATTGGTGCGCGCGCAGACCGGCGCAGATGTTCATTGTAGTGGAGAGGGCGCTTGCCAAGGTGAAGAATGGGGGGTGGGCAGCGGTTGTTTGTTTTCATTTACCATGACACTTTTTTACCTTTCTTTTGCGCTGTTTAAAAAGACAATTACTTAACCTTAAGTAATATATTTTTGTACTATATATACATATTTAATTCTATTTTTTTACTCGGTTTTTGTACTTTATTTTTTTTAATTTAAAGATAACATTTTGAAATCTGGGTGAGCGATCGCAGGTGCCCGTTAGTTGACACGTGAGCGTGGGAACGTTGTTTGGGGATTGGGGTGACACGGGCTTGCACGCGACGGTGACACTTGGCTACTCACAATTTATGAACCCCCGGGGCACGCGCCCGCCTGCCACTAACGGACCCGGGGCAGGGTGGTAGGCGGCGTGTTATTTACCTCCCAGAAAGGGTTTTATCTTTTTGTTGTTTTTTTTTATTCTATTTTTTTTTAATTCTTACCCTTTTGCACCCAAGTGCTATTCTAAACAAATGTTTAAAAAATTAAAAACAAAACACAGATGGAACAATACAATCGTGTCATTTTTTTGTTTTTAAAGTAACCGCTGTTGAGTTCAGGGTTAAGATTTTGGAGTAGGGTATAAGGTCAGGGTATGGTTCAGGACCAAGATCATTGTCAAGTTTAAATATTTTAACCTTAGGTTTCCTACTGGTTTGTACTCACACCCCTCACCCCCAAAGACCAAAAACAGTTTGATGCCTCTTATACACAGATTTCATATATATATATATATATATATATATATATATATATATATATATATATATATATATATATATATATATATATATATATATATATATATATGCTTGCACACACACGTTTATATATAGGCCTATAATGAATAAATAATATATATATATATATTTATAAATAAATAAATAAATAAATAAATTATATATATATATATATATATATATATATATATATATATATATATATATATATATATATATATATATATATATATATATATATATATATATATATATATATTTACAAAATTAAGTTAAGGGTAGCGATACTAGCGAAAAATTAGTACTTTGATAAGTATCTGTATTATTGTATATGATTCAAAGTGCTAATGTTTTATTTCAGACTTCTAAAAATTCATTTGACCCTGGGGTTTGTTGTTTAATTATAGCTTACGAGCCGACCCGCAGCGTATCATACGCCGCTATTTGGTTGTTTTATTTTCTACTTTTCAGTAATTCATAATTTGTGAATTCGACACTACCAATGCTGCCACTGAAAATATTTGCTTTAAAACACTAACCCCCCCCCCTTTCCCCTAACCCCGACCCTACACCTCCTACAGCCTCCTCTTAGTTATTTCTTAGTTACCTCCTGTAAGTTTAAAATCGAACTAAATTATCTGCCCCTAATAGAAATCCGACTCTACGATTTGTAAACATTTAGCTTTGTAAACATTTAGCGTGACCACAGCTCACCAGACAATGTGGGGGTGGGGTGGGGGTGGTAGTGATAGTGATAGAGAGAAAGAGAGGGGACTGCAAGGAGGCGCTTGCAGCTTGTTTTCTAACGGCTCCCAGAAGAGAATTATATATATAGATGGCTTTTGAGGGTTCATCAGCAAGGCATCAATGTATGTTGTTGTGTTCGTCACATTTGATAGTATATGTTAGAGTGCTAGTGGGCAGAGTTAGGGGCAGATTTCAGAACAGATAAATCATTTAGGGGCAGATTTTAGAACAGATAAATCATTTAGGGGCATATTTTAGAACAGATAAATCATTTAGGGGCATATTTTAGAACAGATAAATCGTTTAAGAAAAGATTTTAGAATATATAAACAATATAGAAAATATACATAAACATGTGTACAAGTTTTAAATGCCCCCAGCACCCCTATACAATAACTTGTCTTATCGCACGTAAGTGTGTGTTGTTCAATTACAACTTAGCGAGCCGCCGCCGCATCAAAGGAGTCCTTACGAGGGCATTTTCACTGCACGCGTAGTATAATAAGATCTGTAGGCGTTTATCAGTTTATTAGTGTGAGTATGTTACGTTTATTGGCGTGTTATTAGTGTGTTTGATGCAACATAATGCTGCTGAAGTAAAACAAAACTGACAATCAGTGGACGATCAATACAATGAATCAGATTTGGATTATGTAGATAGTACACTTTTAATAAACACATTCTTTGAAAAAAATAATAAACACATTCATTGATGTTGCGAAGTAATCAAATTTTTTATTATAGAATGTTGGTAGTCTGTGGTGTCGCTAGTTTCGGTGTCGCCAGCTGGGGCGCGCACCCCTTGCACATCCATTTGTGACGCCTTTCGAAGCGATTGCTTCTTGGATTTTTTTTTTGTACTAACTATGGTGTGGCAGAGGCGTAGCGATGGGGGGCAGGGGGGGGGACATATGTCCCCGGGCGCCGACCTTAGGGGGCGCCAAAATGGGTTGTAAAAAGTAATCGAAAGTTTGAGTGGGGTGCAAATCAAAAGTTTGAGGGGGGTGTGCAAATCGAAATTTTGAGGCGGGGGGTGCAAATCAAAAGTTTGACGGGGGGTGCAAATCGAAAGTTTGAGGGGGGGGGTGCAAATCAAAATTTTGTCCCCGGACGCCGGGAAGGGTCGTTACGCCTCTGTGGTGAGGGTTTTAGTGTGATTTGTCTGGGTTTAACTTGACCCTTAGGGTATAAGAAAAGTGTATGGTGTCTTGTGTTGTGTCGCAAGTAGTTTCGCATGATGTGTCTTATGTGTCTCAAGTGGTGGACACATGTGGTGTCTCATACACAATCTAATCAACAGTTTGGCCCCTCTGGTCACTTATTTAACTTACGTAATCACGAATACAAGAAATATATAACACAATATGACGTGCAGTCAATCTTTCGAATATACAATCCGTTCCCTTTCTCTGATCCCTATTCGCCCTTTTATTTTGTGGCTCCCAGTATTTACTTGTACTTGTTCTCCCAATATGCCCCACTTCAGGCTCCCAAAATACCCGTAACAATATGCACGAACTTGGCCTCCAAGTAGATCTATATCCGTACTTGTGCTTCTAATATGCATGCTTTTGGGCTCCCTATATGCACGATTTTGAACTCCCAATATGCACATACTTGGCCTCCAAGTATACCATTACATGTGCTCCAAATATGCACGAACTCGCGCTCCCAATAAGCCAGAGGCGTAATGAGGGGGGCGGAGGGTACATATGTCCCCGGGCGCCGACCTTAGGGGATGAAAAAATGGATTGGAAAAAAATTAAAATTTCATTTTAGCTGCATTTTTGCTTTATAAATATAAATAATATATGAGGAGGGGGGTGCAAATCGAAAGTTTGTTGAGTGGGGGTGCAAATCGAAAGTTTGAGGGATGAGGTGCAAATCGAAAGTTTGCACAATTTTAGACTCCCAATATGCACATACTTGGACTTCCAATATGTAAGTCTTGGGCTTCCAATATACTCGTAATTTGGCTTCCAACGTGACCGTACTTGGGCTTCCAATATGCACATACTTGGGCTTAAAATACGCAAGTATTTCGGCTTCGAATATGCTGTATTTGGGCTTCCAATATTCAAATGCTTGGGCTTCAAACATCCACTGAGTAAACCTATTGTGCGACGTTCCATCCAAGGGGAAAAAAACGTGTGATATTTTATGTGCGCGATATCCTAAAAGTCCCATACAAGGATGTTTTTTTTTACTGCGGCAACTGAAAACTACCGCGCAATCGCGCAGCTTATAGGAAACGTTACGATGTGCGATGAAATAAAGAAAAGAAAACCTAAATGCTATCTCCTGCAGATTAATCTTTTTTTGATTGCAACATTTCCACATTTTTGCTTCTTGTCATGGTCCGTGTTGTTAAAATTAATTGGCGACAGGCCCTGCATTGTAATTAGTGGAGGTGATGTACAGTGGCCGTTGGTGGTTTATGAGGTGGGGGAGTAGGGGTAAGGGATTGAAAGAGCGAGAGAGGGAGTAAGTGATTGGAGTAGAGAAAGGGAGAGATAGATTGAAGGGATGAGGTAGAGGAGAAAGGAAGAAAGCAAGAAAGAGGGAAGGAGTGGAAAAAGAAGGGCGGAAAAGAGTGAGTGAGTTTATTGATAGCGATGAAATGCGTCTTAAGAAAGAATATCTTGATGCGCTGGTGAACTTGACTACATCTATGTCACGTGTTTAGGATAAGTCCCCGATCCTAGACTACATTGTCCTTTCTCCCCCACCTCCCTCCCCCCACCCCAATTTTCACCCCCAACTACCAGGGACGAATAAAAAAAAAAGACTTTTTTAAAAATTATATTGAAAAATATATCCTTACTAACTTTAACTAGAGCCCCGTCCAGTTCACACCCCCCCCCCCCCCCCCACCGTAAATTTCAAGTGCCTCCCAAAAAAATTTAGTTCCGGGGGCGAACACTGGTTGAAGTATATATTTTGTATATAAATTCTCTTTCGTTCTGTGGGTGGGGGATGGTAGACGTGCTCAGTGGGAGACCGGTCTTTACTCGGACTATATGCTATAACTGTGTCTAGCCTTGGCGTTGAAATATCACTATCTATTGCTATATTGTTACGATCTCAGTATCGACCAGTGGCGGAACTAGAAAAAAAGGGCCACCCCGCAAAAACAATTTCTGGGACCCCAGAATATATATATATATATATATATATATATATATATATATATATATATATATATATATATATATATATATATATACGTGTGTGAGTCTGTTTTTTTTGTTTTTTTTTTTTTTGTTTTGTTTTTTTTACATTTTTTT